TCAATCTACCTATCTACCTACCTACCTACAGTACGTAGGTAGTTTATTAATTTCATTAGTTATTTCAGGTAATCAACTTTAAATTTTATTGATCTTATATTTGCTATTTGATTATTTTATGTTCTTTATCATTTTCTTTCTACTCATTTTGAATTTAATTTCCTGTTGTTTTCAGCCTTTTAGCTTCTCTATACATGGATTTTAGGCTATAAATTTCCCTTTATGTACAGTTTTAAACTGCCTCCAGCAAGTTTCAATATGTCTTATTTTCATTTATGCAGTTCTAAGCATTTTCTAATTTCTTTTTTTTTTTTTTTCAAGATTTTACTTATTTGAGAGAGAGAGAGAGATGCACTAATGGGGGTAGAGGGTGGGGAGAGGGAGAAGCAGGCTCCCCACTGAGCAGGGAGCCCCATGCAGGCCTCAATTCCATGACCTCAGGATCATGACCTGAGCTGAAGCCAAATGCTTAACTGACTGAGCCACCCAGGCGCCCCTAAACATTTTCTAATTTCTAGTGGGATATTTTTCTTTGACCAGTGGATTATCTAGTTGTGTTTTTTTCCCCAAACATCTGAATATTTTCTAATTTATACTTTTGTAACTGATTTCTAGCTTATATTTTCACTATAAATATGTTTTGTATGATTTCAATCTTTGAAATTTGTTGAGACTTGTTTTAGGATTCATTATATGATCAATTTTGAGAAATGTTCTATGTGTGCTTGAAAAGAATGTCTGTTTCATATTTGTTCTGTGTAGTGTTCTATGTATATCCATTGGATCAAGTTTATATCAGGGATTGTTCATATCTTCTAGATTCTTTTTTTTTTTTTTTAAAGATTTTATTTATTTATTTGACAGAGAGAGACACAGTGAGACAGGGAACAGGAGAGTGGGAGAGGGAGAAGCAGGCTTCCTGCGGAGCAGGGAGCCCATTGCGGGGCTCGATCCCGGGACCCTGGGATCATGACCTGAGCCGAAGGCAGGCAGACGCTTAATGACTGAGCCACCCAGGCACCCCTTTATCTTCTAGATTTTTACTAATTTTTTGTCTGCTTCGTCTAATTGGTTAATGAAGGAGATGTATTAAAATCTGCCATTATGGGGCGCCTGGGTGGCTCAGTCGTTAAGCGTCTGCCTTCAGCTCAGGTCATGATCCCAGGGTCCTGGGATCGAGCCCCGCATCGGGCTCCCTGCTCCGCGGGAAGCCTGCTTCTCCCTCTCCCACTCCCCCTGCTTGTGTTCTCTCTCTGGCTGTCTTTCTCTCTGTCAAATAAATAAACCTTTAAAAAAAAAAATCTGCCATTATGATTGTGATATTTTGTCTATTTTTCCTTATAGTCTATATGTTTTTGCCATATAGAACATTTTTTGAATCCATGTTATTAGTTACATAGAAATTTACATTCTGTCTTTTGGATGACTTGAATCTCTTGTATTTGCAAAGTGAGCCTCTGATTTCCTAGTAAAGTCTATTTTATGCAATTTTAATAATAGCAACTTTTTTGGAATTTAGTGTTTCTATGATCAATTTTTTTTTTTTTTTGGTCTTTCTCTATACTCCTACTTTTAATATTTCTGTATCCTTATGTTTAGTAAGTGTCTCTTGTAAGCATCGTAAAATCTTGTTTAAAAAAACTTTTTTTTTTTTTAAGATTTTATTTGTATATTTGAGAGAGAAAGAGTATGCACACATGCTAAATGGTGGGGGTGGGAGCAGAGGGAGAAGGACAAGCAGACTGCACTGAGCATGGAACTGGTTGTGGGGCTAGATCCTGGAACCATGAGATCATGACCTGAGCCAAAACCAAGAGTCTGATGCTTAACCAACTGAGCCACCCAGGCGTCCCTAAACCCTTTTTTTTTTTTTTAAGATTTATTTATTTGAGGGGAGAGGGAGCAGAGGGAGAGAAATCCCAAGTAGGCTCCATGCCCACGGCAGCAGAACCCAGTGTAGGACTCAGTCTCTCCACCCCAAGATCATGACCTGAGCCAAAATCAAGAGTCGGATGCTTAACTAACTGAGCCACCCAGGTGTCCCTCCCTTTTTGTTTTAATTGGAACATTTACATACTTCATTTACACTTAATTTAATTATTGGTATTTTAGGGTTAAAAATTTATCATCTTACCATATATTTTCTTTTTGTCTTGCATACTCTGTTTTTTTTTTTTAAGATTTTATTTATTTGACAGAGAGATACACAGCAAGAGGGGAACACAAGCAGGGGGAGTGGGAGAGGGAGAAGCAGGATTCCCACCAAGCAGGGAGCCCGATGTGGGGCTCAATTCCGGGGCCCTGGGATCAGGACCTGAGCCGAAGGCAGACGCTTAACGACTGAGCCACCCAGGCACCCCTTCATACTCTGTTTCTTCTATTTTTCTTTCTTGTCAGGTTTTGGATTATTTTTCATTATTGAATTTTTAAATTTATTATTTTGGAAGTTAAACACTTAACCTTCTAGCGATTACTCTAAAAATTATAACAAATCCTTCAGTTGCCAAAATCTAATGTTAACTGGTAGTTTTATCTTCTTCCCAAACATTGCAGAACCTGAGAATTCTTTAACTCCATTTCCTCTTTCCCAATCTATTTGCAATTGTTTTGTATTTAATTCTGTATATATTTATTTACAACCTCACAAGATAGTATTTTATGTAGTTAGTATTCATTTAGTTTTGCCCACATACTTATCATTTAAAAAATTTGTTTTAAGTTTTTATTTAAATTTCAGTTGACATACAGTATAATATTGGTTTCAGGTATACAATTTAGTGATTCAGCACTTCTATACAATACCCGGTGCTCATCACAAGTGCCCTCCTTAATCCCCATCACCTATTTCTCCTGTCCCCCAACTCACCTCCCCTCTGGCAACCATCAATTTGTTCTCTTACTTAGTAAGAGTCTGTTTCTTGGTTTGCCTCTCTCTTTTTTTCCCTATGCTTGTTTGTTTTGTTTCTTAAATTCCACATATGAGTGAAATCATATGGTATTTGTATTTAACTGACTTATTTCGCTTAGCATAATACACTCTAGCTCCATCCATGTCCTTGGAAATGGCAAGATTTCATTCCTTTTTATGGCCGAGTAATATTCCAGTGTGTGTGTGTGTGTGTGTGTGTGTGTACACCCCCCCCCCCCAGACCACATCTTCTTTATCTTTTCATCAGTTGATGGACACTGGGCTTTTCCCATAGTTTGGCTGTTGTCGATAAATAAACATTGAGGTGCATGTATCCCTTTGAATCAGTATTTTTGTATCCTTTGGGCAAATACCTAGTAGTGCAATTGCTGGGTCCTAGGGTGGTTCTGTTTTTAACTTTTTGAGGAACCTCCATACTATTTTCCGGAGTAGCTGTACCAATTTGCAGTCCCACCAACAGTGGAGGAGGCTTCTCCTTTCTCCACATTCTTGCCAACACCTGTTGTTTCTTGTGTTGTTAATTTTAGCCATTCTGACAGGTGTGAGGTGATAGCTCATTGTGATTGGTATTTCCCTGATGATGAGTGATGTTGCATCTTTTCATGCATCTGTTGGCCATCTGTATGTCTTCTTTGGAAAAATGTCTGTTCATGTCTTCTCACTTTTTAATTGGATTATTTGTTTTTTGGGTGTTGGGTTGTATAAATTCTTTATATATTTATATATTTTGGATAGTAACCCTTTATCAGATATGTCATTTGCAAATATCTTCTCCCATTCCATAGGTTGCCTTATGTTGTGTTCATTGTTTACTTCACTGTGCTGAAGCTTTTATTTTGATGAAGTCCCTATAGTTTATTTTTCCTTTTGTTTCCCTTGCTTCAGGAGACATATTTAGTCAGAAAGAGGTTATTGCCAGTGTTCTACTCTAGGATTTTGATGGTTTCCTGTCTCACATTTAGGTCTTTAATCCATTTTTATTTTATTTTTGTGTATGGTGTAAGAAAGTGGTCCAGTTTCATTCTTTTCTATGTTCCTGTCCAGTTTACCCAACACCATTTATTGAAGAGACTTTTTCCCATTGAATATTCTTTACTTCTTTGTTAAAGATTAATTGACCATATAGTGGTGGGTTCATTTCTGGGTTTTCTATTCTATTCCATTGATCTATGTGTCTATTTTTCTGCCAGTACCATACTGTTTTGATCACCACAGCTTTGGAATATAACTAGAAGTCTGGAATTGTGATGCCAGCTTTGCTTTGCTTTTTTCAAGATTTGTTTGGCTATTTGTGGTCTTTTGTGGTTACATACAAATTTTAGGATTGTTTGTTCTAACTCTGTGAAAAATATTTGTGGTATTTTGATAGGGATTGCATTAAATGTATAAATTGCCTTGGGTGGAATAGACATTTTAACAATATTTGTTCTTCCAATCCATGAGCATTTATGGAATGTCTTTCTTTGTGTCCTTTTCAATTTCTTTCATCCGTGTTTTATAGTTTTCAGAGTCCTGGTCTTTCACCTCTTTGGTTAGGTTTATTCCTAGGTTTCTTATGGTTTTGTGGGCTTATTGTTTTTGTTGCTCTATTCTTTCCTGCTTCTACCATCTTCCATCAGACATTATCCATGTATGCATGGAGAATACTTTGTCAAATTTTCTTTAATGAGTGTCCTCTCCTGGAATTTACAATTCCTCCAGGAGAAAAGTGTCCTTAAATATGAGGCTTATCTTCTAAATGTTTGTCTTCCCCTAGATTTTGGCCTGTTAATTCTTTACTACCTTGTTGTTTTCTATTGTCTTCAACTGGTTATTTTTAAATAATTATTCCAGCTTTTCTAGTTGTTCTCAGTGAGAAAGTAGCTTGCTATTATTGAGCATAATTATTCCCTTTGTTGTAAATTGCTGCAAGTAGATTGCATGTTTAGAAAAGATAGGAAGGTGAACCTGTTAAGAAAATGGCACAACTAAAAACCTTTCTTATTAGTATTGAGGTTTAAAATTTTTGTTTTCAAACATGAAGCTATATTGTAGAAATTAACATTTTAATTTTTATAATCTTTTATTCCAGCTCGTGATGCTGATGAGCGAGAGAAGTGGATCCATGCCTTAGAAGAAACAATTCTTCGACATACTCTTCAGCTTCAAGTAAGAGTCTTTATGTGGCTTCTGGATAGTTCATTAGTTTTTTTGTTTGTTTTCTGTTTTTTAAAATAACTGTGATCTGATGTAATGAAAACTTCTTAGTTCTGAGTTGCTTATTCTTGCCTTCATAATGTTATATAGTAAAGTTATAAAGCATTTTCTTATGCTTTCTATAGGGTAAAATACTGATTTTTATCTTAAAATAAGAGTGCAAGGCAATATTGAATGTGAAATGCTATGTTAAAATGTGCCAGATCATTTTTAAATTTAGTATCTGTAGTTGGTTATTGATATAACCAAATTATGCACTAATGCATGATAATAAGTGCTGAGAGATTGACCTACTTTTCTTGTTATAGGATTTGGCAGTTACCATATGTGTTAACCAGGACTCTTTGGGATGCAAGTAATAGGGAAAAAAACCAAACTGGTTTAAGAAAAAAGTAAATCTGGCTGAGATGTGGTTTGAAGTAGGCACTTCACCAATGTCATGAGGACCCAGATCCACCATTTCTATTTCTATGCCTCTTTTCTTCTGGGTGGCTTTGTTTTTAGATAGGTTCTCTTTGTGGTAGTAAGATGGTTGCAGCAATTTCAGCCTCCCATTGTTGAGATGTATAACCTACTATTAGGAGAACACTCTAGGAGCTCCAAGTCTACAGGAAGCTATTGTTCTTTCTGGACTGTGGTAGGACTAATAGGATTACCACTGATTACCTTAGCTCCAGTCATTTTCTTAATCCTGACCAATCACAATTTCACAGTCATATGTTCCACTCCTGTAGCTGTCTTCACCAGAAACACTTTGCTGATAGGGTAGAAGATGGTCCCCACCAAGTAAAGTCAGAAAAGGCAAAAAGAAGGTGCTGGGTGACAAAAACCACGAATGTCTACTCTCTCATACTGAGGATAGTTTTCCATGTTTATTCTTCAGTGAAAGCTTATATTATGGCATTGGAGGATTTTTTTTAATTATTTTGATTGATAGGATTGAGTTGTACAAAAGTGACATTTTATGCCATGATGACATTTTCTCTACTTATTTTTGTCCTATACCAGGAACTGGCTTGATTAGATAAGGTGGTAAGGTGGTGTAGGGTATCCCAGCTCCTACAAGATTGCGAACTCCCCATCACTTGAGAGTGTTCAAATAGAGGCTTAAAAAACATTATTCAAGGATGTGGTTATTAAGAGACTATAAGAAATTAATATGGAGTTGAACTAGAAGATCTGTAAGTTACTCTTTGAGCTATGTTTTTAAAAGCAACTTCGTAATTTCTAAAGGTTTCTTTTTAATTTTAGTCCATTTAATAAATGAATGTGGCGTCATTTCAGCAAATTTGTGATTCAGTATGGTAAGTGTTTTAAGAATCATATTAGCTTGGGGGCGCCTGGTTGGCTCAGTGTCTGCCTTTGGCTCAGATCATGATGCCAGGGTCCTGGAATTAGCCTGCTTCTCCCTCTCCCTCTGCCTGCCTCTCCCCTTGCTTGTGCTCGCGTGCTCTCTCTCTCTCTCTGTGTCTGTCTCTGTGTCAGATAAATAAATAAAATCTTAACAACAACAACAAAAAAGAATTAGCCTGAATGTGGCAGTTGAGATTCCCTCCATGGTTGGTGAGACTGACATTCAAGTCTCTCTGTGATCTATTCTCAACTTGCCTTTCTAGTCATTTCTACTGTTATATCTCTCCATCAACTTTTTGCTAGAGTGCTGCTGTTAATTTCCTCTGAACACATCTTTTCTTTTCTGGTCTCCACATTCTTGCACATGATGTTCTCTCTTTCTCTCTGAAATGGCATCTGCCTCCATTCTGCCTTTGTATACCACCCCTTTTCTTCAAAGCCCAGTTCAGAACTGACCTCTTCTGTGGAGCCTCCCTTGAATGACCCCTCCCTCCCCATACCCCAAACTCAAAGTGATCTCTCTCTTTGGATGCCATACCTCTTGTACAATTCACTAAGTCCTTATCATATTCTTTCTGTTTATCTTTTAAAGTATATGTAACTTCAGACTCCTTAAGGTTGGGTACCTAATTTGATTCAATTTTGGAATTTCTGAGCTTTTGCTCAGAAGAAATAAGAAAGTTTTAAAAGTCTTAGACTGATAGCTTTGATATTTAAAATACATGTGATACAAGAGAATCTTTATATGTATTTTCCTAAATAATGTATACAGAAGATAGAACATTTAGAAATATGTAATTAGGGGCACCTGGGTGGCTCAGTCATTAAACATCTGCCTTCAGCTCAGGTCCTGATACCAGGGTCCTGGGATCGAGCCCCGCATCAGGCTCCCTGCTCAGTGGGAAGCCTGCTTCTCCCTCTCCCATTCCCCCTGCTTGTGTTCCCTCTTTCGCCGTCTATCTCTCTGTGTCAAATAAATAAATAAAAATCTTTAAAATATATATATATATATATAATTAAATGTTAATTTGGTTGGCAAAAAAGTAAAGATTCTCCTCCCAGAGATAGTGAAGTGTGATGAAGAACTTGACTATGGAGCCCAAATGTCTTAGTCTATATCCCAGTGCCACCACTTACATTTAACTCTTCACATTGAACTTAGTCTCTCTGAGTTCCCATATCCTCATCTATAAAATGAAGATAATAAAAGTACCTACCTTTATTATAGAGTTTTTTTGAAGATTAAATGAGTTAAATGCAAATTTGTTGAAATCATGCCTAGCTATAGTGAGAACTTCACAGACTTTAGCTGTTGTTACTAAAGAAACTGCTCTCACTATTTCCACTCTTAGTACTTCACATTCTTTTTTTTTGTGTTTTTAAAGATTTTATTTATTTTATTTGAGAGAGAGGGAATGAGAGACAGCATGAGAGGGAGGAGGGTCAGAGGGAGAAGCAGACTCCCTGCCGAGCAGGGAGCCCGATGCGGGACTCGATCCTGGGACTCCAGGATCATGACCTGAGCCGAAGGCAGTCGCTTAACGAACTGAGCCACCCAGGCGCCCAGTACTTCACATTCTAAAGAGTGCTCAGTAACTGTTAGATGAAGAAATAATTGAAGGAATGAACAAAAGAACAGATGACGTATAGGTTGCTTTCCCATTGCTGTTTATCGAGTACTTTGAGATGTATAGTGTTCCATTCAGGCACTGTGGAGTAGGAACTCATGGAACTCTCTTCCAAATGGGCATGGAGGGCATTTACATGTCCTCCTTTTCCATTGAATTTCATCTCTACTTTAGCCATTAAACTATACTGCTTTGGCTTTGTCATTACTGAGGGCTGTACTACCTCCAAAATAATTGAATTTAAAAGTATTTTCTCTCTCTTTTTTAAAGATTTTATTTATTTATTTGACAGAGAGAGACACAGCGAGAGAGGGAACACAAGCATGGGGAGTGGGAGAGGGAGAAGCAAGCTTCCCACGGAGCAGGGAGCCCGATGCGGGGCTCAATCCCAGGACCCTGGGACCATGACCTGAGCCGAAGGCAAATGCTTAACAACTGAGCCACCCAGGCACCCCTAAAAGTATTTTCTCTTTGACCACAGTTTTCTTACCTTCACCCTCTATCACTTTACTTCTGAACTTTTCTTCTCTCATTTTGGTCTGAGCTCTACTTCTCCATTTTTCCTGGCCATTTAGTACCTTTCTAGTTTTGCCTATGTCATCCTCCAGTGTAGATCTTGTATCTGCTTCTTCAACACTGATTTTGCTATCACTTACTGAATTTTTTGTCATTGGATGTTTTGTACTGTGTCCCATTCTCATTTCCATTCCCCAGGGCCCCACTGTCTGGTTTCTCTGCTTCTAGTACTCTTAGAGGTCATAATATTGAGATGGCTGTATATATCACAATTTTTAAATTTTGTCTAACTTTAATTGGATTTCTATAACTATTCAAAGTCTTCTTATTGACTCCTTGATTTTCAGTTAAATCCCCACAGTGGAATATTTTTCATTAGCTTTCAGTATCTAATACAGCCTGCTCCCTTCTTTATAGAAAAAGGTCTTCGATAGTTCTTAGTAATTTCACCTATACTTACTTTCTCTGCTTTGCATATTTCAAAGAAAAACATTCTTACTCTTTCCCAGAGTTAATACAACACCCATACTCGTGACTACATGGTGTTTCCTTTGAGACTATGACCTTACTCCCTCTCCCTCCCAGTAGTCCTCACCATTTTCATGGATTCAGCTAAAGCTTCTGTGTAGGTGACTCTTCCTTCCCTCCACACCACTCCCCTTCTTTATATATATATATCTTTTCATATTTAGCTTTAGTCCCACACTCTTTCCTTTTGGATTTTGCCAGTTAGATGGCTCCCTGAAACTCAACCTCAACATGACTAAAACTGAACTTATCATTTCATTCCTCCTCAAACCCATCTCTTTATCTCATTTTTCTGTTTCTATTAATGACAGTGTTATTCTCTGAGCCACTGAAGTTTGAAAATTGAGAGTCCTTTTGGGTGATAACTTCTAAACTGCCAAATCTGGGGGAGGGTGGGGTGTGTGTGTGTGTGTGTGTGTGTGTGTGTGTGTGGTGTCTTTTGTTAATAGGATCTCTCACACTCCTCTGATGTTCACTTTGACTGTCATATAAGTTGCATCTTAACTATCTCTGGTGCCTTCATATATTTCCTGAATTTATTCTCTTCATCTTATAAAAGAATACCTTTAATAAATGACCTTATGGCATCTATAACAGTGAAAAACCTTTAATGATTTACATTTGCCTGTAGGATAAAGTAAAACTTTTTATTAGGGGATTTCAGGCTCTCTTTGATTTGATGCCAACCTGCCTTTTCCACCTCCTGTTCCTACATGTTTCTGGTTCCATGCTTCTACTCATGCTACTCTAAGTCCTCACCATCCCCAGTCCTCAAATTTGCCACTGTAAGATTAATTCCAGTCATTCAAAACCCAGTGTACATATTACCTCTTCATTTCATCTCTTTCTTATCACTATAATAAAAAATAGTCTCTTACCTCTTTAACCTCTGCTGTAATTTCCCCTTCTGTGTAGCCCATATAGCAT